AGAAACAGACAACAAATAAAAAAGACAAACCCAAATATCACCATGAAAGGTGCTGCAAAGAAAGCAAAATCAGGTAACAGGAAGTGAGGAAAGGTATCAGTAACGGGAAGTGAGGAAAGGTATCAGGCCAGTCATCACGTGGGTAAGTGCCTCGGACAGGAGGAGCCACAGGAGAGGCTCAGCTTAGAAGAGGCTGCAGCCTGTTCAGGGGACCGAGGAGGGAGATATGGTAGGCACCCAGGGAAGTGGCAGGACAGAGCCAGAGGTCAGCAGGGCCAGGGCACACCAGGCCTCACCAGGATGCTATCTGGGGCGAGGGGAGGTATGGTAGGACTTGGGTTTTCAGAGCATGGACAGGGAACTGGGGGCTGCTCATGAGACGGATTCAGGGTCCTAGTGAGGAGCTCCAGGGTGGACATGGATTTGGAAACTGATGGGACTTGCCAGTGGGTGGGTGTTGGGGGAGGAGGTCACAGGTGTCTGGATGGCCCCAAACGGCCTCCTCTGCCCATCCTGCCCTCACAGGTGTCTGGATGGCCCCAAAGCCGCCCTCCCCAGCCTTCTGCCACATGGCAGCACCCCCTCTAGCAGGCCCCCAGCCAGGAACTCATCAAGTGATGGAGACTCAGTGTCACCCATGGCACTTCACAGTGTGTCAGGGGCTTTGCCTACAGCCAAACAGAGGAAAGGCAGCTGATGGACCTAACCAACCTGTTCTAGAGGCCCCTAGCTGCTTTACAGCTGTTTGCAAGGGCATCTGAGCAAAGGCAAACCCAAAGCATCCCCTGATGGCTGAGGGCAGAACTAGAACCCAGAGCCTCACTTTACACGTAGAGAAACAGGTCCTGAGAGGGTAGGAGCTTGGCCCACGTCCCCGGACACTAGGACATCTCTCCCATGTGCCTTTCTGCCTTAGCCTCCAGGATCCTCAGCCCCTCCCCCCTGCATCCCATCCTGGTTCCTCCAGAGACCTTCCCTGAAAACAGGAAGCCAGGAACACAGTGCTTCAAACGCTCTCTTCCCACCACCCAGCTTCCACCCTAGCTCTCCCTGTGTTCCTTGGGATGGGACCTGAGCACTCAATTCTGATGGCACTTTGAGGATCATGGTTCTTACTTGCCTCCTGTGGCCAGTCTTTCCTTCACACCCATCCACTGTAGCAACAAGAGATGGCCTCTCAGGATCCAGCTGGAATGGGTCCTCATGCCTTGAATGGAACCCGTCATTTCCTGCTTGGACTATTGCAGTAGCTCCTTCTCTGGTCTCCTCATCACCACCCTCCCCCACTGATACAGTCCATTCTGCCCCTAGCAGGTCTGATGGCTCTGGGAGACCACAGCTTCCCACCCCAATGAACCTCACATGGCATGACTCACCTGTCTGCAGTCTGAGTTCCCACACCATCCCTTCCCCTCACCATCCAGCCACTACAACTGTTATGTGCCTCGAGCCTCGGAAAAGGCTCCTTCTTGCTAAGGCCTCGGCACCAGCTGTTCCTTTCTCTGATCATTGCTCTTCCCCACTCTGCATAGCTGACCCCCGCCTCTCATTCAGATCTCAGCACCCCCATCTGCCAACACCACATCACCCTAAAGGTTCTGTTTTTATTTTTGGTATCGGGCATTGAACCCAGGAGTCCTTAATCACTGAGCAACATTCCCAGCCCTTTTTATTTTTTATTTTGAGGCAGAGTCGCACTAAGTTGTTTAGAGCCTCCCTAGTTGCTGAGGCTGGCTTTGAACTTACAATCCTCCTGCCTCGGCCTCCCAAGTGGCTGGGATTACAGGCATGCACCACGATGCCCAGCTACCCTAAAGGTTCTGGTTTGCACTGTTTTCTTATCTCTTTGTTTATCCTGTATTGAAGAATCCCGGGGTCTACCACATAGTGGGCACTCAAAAAATTCTGGGCTTGGGCTGGGGTTATGGCTCAGTGGTAGAGCGCTTGCCTCACATGTGTGGGGCATGGGTTTGATCCCCAGCACCACATAAATAAAATTTTAAAAATGAAGGTATTGTGTCCATCTGTAACTAAATTTTTTTAAAAAAATTGCTGGGCTTTGTGGGGCACACTTGTAACCCCAGCAACTCGGAAGGCTGAGGCAGGGAATTGCAAGTTCAAGGCCAGCCTGGGCAACTTAGCAAGATCTTCTCTAAAAATTTAAAAGGTGTCTGGGGATATGGCTCAGTGGTAGAGTGCCCCTGGGTTCAATCTACAGCACCATAAGAAAAAAAAAAAAAAGAAAAGAAAGACATATCTGTCAATGCAATTAAGGCACTGATGAATGATAGCTAGCTGACTCCGTGCTGAGTGCTGGGTGAACAGTAGTGACAGCAGGAGGTGGCCATCCTCACACACTTCACAGTTTAGCTCTGTTTTACCCAATTTCACATACTTTGCTGGCTCTGGAGCTGCCCTTGAACCACAGCCCACACACTGGCAGCCTGTGGGTCAAATATAACCCACAGAAGTGTCTTGTTTGACCCAGTCCATGTTTTTAAAAAAAACATGAGGTAACATTTAAAAATCAGTAGGCTTCACGCACAAATCTGAATTTCTGACTTGTTTGGAAAATGGGAAGGTGTGGCCATGCTGTGTTCCAGTACCCAAATGACATGCTGTGACTGCCTGTTAGATAAAAGGCACGTTCTCCACCGTCCCCACCACTCTCCAGGACCTTCTGAAGATTTTTTTTTTTTAAAGAGAGAGAGAGAGAGAATTTTTTAATATTTATTTTTTAGTATTTGGCGGACACAACATCTTTGTTTGTATGTGGTGCTGAGGATCGAACCCGGGCCGCACGCATGCCAGGCGAGCGCGCTACTGCTTGAGACACATCTCCAGCCCTCTCCAGGACCTTCTACCACAGTTTAGCAAGACTCTTTTCCTCATACTTAGGAAATCAGCTCTGTCTGTCCCTACCAAAAGTTGGCACATGTAAGGCAAATGGGTCACACAAGTCAAGAAAAAATAGGATATTCATTCATCCCACAAGTATTAATTGATAACTGTCTTCATTCCAGGCTCCATAGTGGATGCTATAACTATAGCAGGGGCCAGCATGGATAAAGCACTCTTCCTCCTGGGACCTCACTCTGTCCACTGTAGCTCTCTTGGCACCAGTGGAGATGTGGGACTGGCTGGCCCCACCCATTTGACCTCCCCACCTGGCCTCCTGTGTGTTTCAGTTTCTCCCCTGATGAGAAAGCCTGCATTTATGTTGGGGGGTCATCTGTGTTGACCTCATAGATGCTACTGAGCACCCACTACCTACCAACCCATCAGGGACTAACACAACAGAAGTGCTCAAGAAAAACTTGTGGAATGGGGAAGGTCATTTCACCTCTCTCCTAGATTATTTATCAATGCTTATCAATGTTTCTCCAGGATTTACTGTCAAATGTCAGTGCCCAGTGGTTGCTCACTTAATGTCAGTTGGAGGAATGGGTCCAGGATCAGAGGGGAGGGTGACAAGGGAAGTGTAGGCTTCCTGAAGACAGAGCCCTGGAAGAGGAAGGAAAGGGGCAGACATTAACAGCCCCTGGCAAGAGCTCATGTCTTCCTCCCAGTAACCCTGGAGGGACACCTGAGGAAAGCCCCTTTGCCAAACTCAGACTCTGGGAGTCAGGTAGGAGGAGGCTTGGCTGCCTGCAAGGTCTCCCCTCACCTACATAGAGGACTGACTCTATAGGGTGGGGGGATGTAACTGGTCTCTGAAAAACAGCCTCTCACTCTTGAAAATATGTCACCTTCAACTAGATGCCTGAGAGCTTCAGCCACTTCTCTTCTGACTCCTGTATTGCTCATTTCCCTACAACCTTTTCCAGCAAAAGCTTAATACTATGTGAGAAAGGTGTAGGTGCTGTAGGGACTCTAAAACGTTAGGAGGGGCTCCTATCCCTGCACTTAGTGGGTCAGCTAGTAAAAGAAACCCAGTCACAGAGGCCACCAAGCACTCCTGGGCAGGGTGGTGGATGTGGGGTATCCCTCCAATTGAGCCTAGCGATCAGTAGAATGTGGCCAGTGGAGTAGGGTGGAGGCAGAGGTCCCAGGTTGAATCTTTGCCCCTCGTGGACGGTGACTGCAGAAAGAAAAGGCTGGGCCTGAGCACGTCTGGGTTCCTCGCCCTCAGCTCTCCTCCAGCCTCATGGAACCTGACATCCCATCTTTGAGACAGGAGACAGGAGAGTTGGACGATGTTGTAAGTCCAGTGACCAAGGTGCTGGGGTTTTGTATCATGTCGGTGGTACAGCGCAGTCTAAATGCTTACTCCCAAGCCTTCTCCGGGCAGAAGGGGCAGAAGACTCTAGCTGGGGTCCTGGGGACCCAATGGGCGCTGGCTGTACATTCGCATGTGCGTCCCGCCTCCCCGCTCCTGCGGCCCGGCGTGCCTTTCCGCACGAAGCCTGCACCCAGCAAATACCTCTGGATTGAACCACGAATTGCTCAGTCGGGCCTTTGGGATCCCGGGCCGCTTGGGCGCAGGCCCGGTTCAACAAGTGAGGGCCGGACCGCGGGTTCCAACCCGGCGGCTTCGCGCCTCCCTAGGCGCCTGGGGCGCGTCAGGCTGGGCCGGGCCCAGTTAGGCGAGTTTCATTTCATCACCCGCTGGGCGTGCGAGCGCCGGTGCAAATAACGTTGCCCTCCCCTCCCTCCTCTTCCCAACTCCCTCCGAAACTCCCGTTTGCAAACGCTAGCACGCCCGGCTGGCAGGTCCGGGGCGGTGGCCGGGTCGGCTGGGCAGCTGGAGCTGCAGGGGACTGGGTGCCGGCGCCCGCCCCCGCCCGTCCGCCCCGCCCGGGCCGCGAGGCCACCTCACCGGCAGCGGAATGGAAACCGGTTCGACAGGTAACAAATAGGTGGGTTGTCACCGTTATTTCCCAACGCATGCGCCATCGCTCCCCAGGCTACTCCAAGCTAATTAGATCAGATCACCCCCCTCCCCGCCCAGCCACCAACACACACCGCCGCGAGCCAATAAAGCGTGAACCTGTCGGTCCGGCTCGCACTTTAAGACTTCCCGAGCGGCCGAGGGGACGCCAGTCGAGTCAGGAGACGCCTACCTGCCGTTTCCCCGTCGCCCAGTGCACTTGGCTGCAAGGGCTCTGCTACCGAGGGGACCGCGACACTCCGCGAAGTTGGAACCGGCGCGCGCCGTCCCAGCACTGTCTTCCCTCGGAACGTGGGGGCGCCTCGACGATTCCTCCCCTCAACTGTCCGCTTCCTGCGCCTCCGAGCCGGCCCGGGAAAGGTGGGACGACCCGGTTCTAGTTGCGGAAACGGACCGCGCCGGGCCAGGAGCGTTCGAAAATGCCCCGCGCGTTCCTGGTGAAGAAGCCGTGCGTCTCCACGTGCAAGAGGAACTGGAGCGAGCTGCCAGATGAGGAGCGCGGCGAGATCTACGTGCCAGGTGAGGCGCCTGCAGCCCTCGGCGCCCGCGGCGGCGGGAAGGCGGGGCGCGGAGATGAGCGGCTCCGCGCCCGCCGCTGAACACCAGGATGCAGGTTGCCGCGGCCGCGGCTCCGTTAGCCCGCGGCTGGCTGACCCCGGGCGCGGGGAGGAGAGGGCTCGCGAGCGGAAGCAGCGTCGGGTGGGGGCGGGGGCCATCTCCCTCTACCGGCCCGAGCCACGGCGTAGGGGAGGCAGCGGGGTGTGTCACCGCTCTGGCGACCCTCGGCTCTCGAGTCGTAAATCCAGAAAGCGGAGACTTTGATGAAGCGCGAGGAGGGCGCTGGAGCGATGCCACTTTAGGGGGCAGGGAACGAGATGGAGTTTCAGCTGAGGCTTTGCCACTTAGATTCTGAGCCTTAGCCGCTTCCATAGGTCTTTCTCCCTCCGCCACAAATCTTGTGCCAGGTGGGGACGCGGGCGAGTATCCCCAAGTTGCCCTGCGGCTCTAGCCCCGCGGTCCGCACAGTGCGCAAGCGGGATAAGAAGGCACCCGGTTGCACCCAGCCTGCCCTTGAGACAAAGATGGGATCGGTTCTCACCTTTGTTAGAAACGCGATCCTTCAACCTTGCAAAGGATACATGGAGCGGAAAGTAGTTTTAAGGAGCTCCCCCCCCCCCAGCCAAAGACAAGCCCGGGGAAGCTGGTGCACCCAGTTTATTTTGAGAAGACGCCTTGACAAGAGTCCGCGTCCACTTTGAATGAGTAACCCCAGTTGTCTTCCTTTGAGGCATCTTCCTAGGGTCCCTGAGGACGCTTTTGCTCCTTCTGTCCTCCCCCTTCCCCCAACAAAATCTTTGGTCAGGAAGCCTTGGCAACTCCCCTTTTCCGACCGTGGGGGTGGGGTGGGGGCTGCAGTCAATACCTTGCCCAGTGCCTCCAAGGAAGGAGAGGTGGTAATTAACCAACCGACTTTGACCCTTGATCTGCAGATTCCCTGGCACCGCCTGGGCCTTAAGGAAAGTCAGGAAATCATCAGATGAGGGGCCAATGAGGGCTCTTGCTTCAGTCTCCCTCTTTTATTAAACTCTTGGGGGTAGGGTTTTTGTGGCCTGAGCTGCCAGGATCCTATGACCTGAAGCCAGGGTGGGATGTGTCACAGTTTAAGCTTATCTCATGGGGGCTGGGCCATCCTCTGTAGCCTCTTTAAACATTGGAATGATCCCAGTGGGGAAACTGAGGCAAAAAAGGAAATGAGTGTCTCCCTATCTAGGTGGGAGTGGGCCAGGACTGTAGTTTTTAGCTGGCTGTGTTCCCTCACCAGCTGGCCAGTGCTCCACCTCCGGAAGGACCAGGGAGAGGCCAGCCCTTCCTTGCTCCTACCTCCTCCCCAACCTGTGTTTGACTTGCTGCTTAGCTGCTCCATGGGATCTGATAAACTGAACTTGGACTGTGTTAAAGGTGAGCTGAGACTTGGGCCCGGCTCAGAGTGCTGTTAATTTTAGTTTTATTTCACATCCCATTTAGTAACAGATCACATATTGACTTTTACAAAGGACAAAGAAATTCCGCTTGTTCAAATCATTGACTTCCTTGGGTCCTAACAATTTTCCCCATAAGAGTTTTGGTGGCCAAAGTGGGAATGGTAGAAGAGACCTGGGCCCCGGGATTGTCCCATCAGGGGCAGGGGACGACTCCTAGGTGGACAGTTCATCTGCCACTACCATCCAGGTGGAGGAGTGTACAGATGCTCACTCTGCAAGAAGGTCCTGGAATGGAGGGCAGGCTGACCTCGAGGGCGATGGTAAAACTTGCCCCCGTGGCTCTGGCAGTGGATGAGAGTTCTGTGGGCCAAGTAAAGGGCATAGGTTTTACCTCTAAAGGCCACGTGACCCACTGGAGAATTTTCCCACAATTTTTGGAAATGAGAAAGGGAATGTCCTTGGGCCACACTTGGACGCTTCAGATGGCTGGAGGGGGCAGTGTTGTGGTGGCCTGTCCTCTGGCTGGGCCATTCCATCACCAACCGACCATGACCCCAGGAGTTGACTGGGCACGTTTCCGTCACCCCCACCTCACAGACTCTCAGCACGTTGTGACCAGCTAAGCACTGACCCCTTTCCCAGGGAGGGCAGGGGAACATGCCGGTGTCTGAATTTTGACCTTCCTGCCGGGGCCCTTGAGACACTCAGAGCATCAGAAGCTCCCTGGAATGAGTGGCTAAAAATACTGGGCCCAGTCCCAGTCTCATAAGTACCTCAGCCTTCCTCCCCCAGGCAGAATTCTACAGGTTCCTCTCCCAGGGCAGAATCTTTCCCTGAGCCCCCATCATCCTCCCAAAGCTAAGGGGAAGCCCTGGTCAGCTGGGTCTGGAATGCAGGCAAGGGAGAAGAGAGCCCCATCTGCTCTGGGATCAGGGGGAGGTTAGTGGACAGGATGCTCCCTCTGGGGGGCCTTGACCCCTTATCTTCCCTCACCTCCCCGGGTGTGGGCTTCTGTCCTCAGTTGTGTCAGTGTTGACTGTGGAGTAACAGGAGGATGCTGGTTTCTGGAGGATGAACCAGGTACTTGTACCTGTTACTTCCACTTGGAGGGATGATGCGTCCCTCCAAGCCTGGCCCCTGCTGAGTGAAGTCTAGATGCCAAGAAGGCACCTGGGGAAAGACCCATCCTGGAAGCTGGAACTCCAGGAGCATCCCTGGGGCCTCTTCCAGAACCCCAGACTCCCACCCCTGGGCCTCCCCTCTGGCTGCCAGCGGCCGCTGTTCTGCTGGTTCTGCAGCAGGGCACAAGCCCAAGAGGCCAGTGGGGCTGAGCTGCAGGAGCCCGGGGTTTCCTTTAGATAATGCAGCTGGGCCTCGCCCTGCTGTTAGGCAGTGTGGGACTTGACCATTCTTTTTCCAGGCTGAGTCAGAAAGGCAGAGAAAATCAGCTTTGGACCCCAGAATAGGGGTGGGAGCGGTGGGAGAAGCTAGGTTTCCAATGAGTGTTCTAGTGACTTCTGGAAGTGCTGGGCAGTGGAGTGGGTTTGCTGTGTCCTCTTGGGAAAGAGGCTGGGAGGAGACAGCCAGTTAGTGCATGGGACAGAAGAGCAGCTTGTGCCCTAACTGGTAGGACTCCTACAAATCCCATGGGGCACTGTCACCGAAGCTGCTAAGCTGTTTGTCCCAAGCTTGGGTGTCCTGTGGCAGAAGCTGCCAGACTGTCCCAGAAAGAGAGCAGGTGAGAGCAAGTGTCCTGGGTGCACAGAGGATGAGGACTGAAGCCTGGCCATCACTGGTGTCGGGTTCCTTTTTACCATTGTTCATCCTCTGGCATCCTATAGGGCCCCACAGGCCTGTGCTGGGCAGGAGGATGAAGGATGCCACAGGAAGTGCACTTCCTGGCTGGCCAAGCCATACACACTGGTGTGAGGACTGAGGACACAGTTCTGACTTCACCATGGACACTGAATGAAAAGCAATCAAGAAAGGGGGCAGATATCGCCCAACAGAGATGGCAGCAGAAGGCCGAGAGATAGGTCCATGTGTCCCCAGGCTGCTGCCCTGCTGGATGGCAGATACCGCTCCTTTCAGAGGATTGCCAGCTGACCTGCAGGACTGGGCACAGGGGAACCCAGCCCTTGTTGATAAGGGTATAAGGCTGCCTGAAACCAGCCTGGGCTGTGCACACACCCAGAAGAGAGTTGACCCCACCAGCACCTGCGTGGTCAGCACCCAGGAGGTGGGGCACCCTCACATCTGCCTCACTTGCTCTCCCCATTCTCTCCCCAGAGAGCCAGGGATCAGGCCTCCTGCCCAGTCTAAGGCCTTTGATGGGGCAGGACCTAGCATCCTAGCCACTATTTGGGCCAGTGACTTTCAACCCAAGAAAGGGGGAACTTTTTTTTTTTTTTTAATACAGGGGATTAAACCCAGGGTCACTTAACCACTGTGCCACATCCCCAGCCTTTTAATTTTTTTGAGACAGAATCTCACTAAGTTGTTTAGGGCCTCACTAAATTGCTAGGGCTGGCTTTGACTTTGCGATCCTCCTGCCTCAGCCTCCTGAGTCTCTGAGATTACAGGCGTGTGCCATGATGCTCGGTTTTAAGAGGGGGGACTTTTGGAGGATAAGGCAGAATGTGACCCTTGTATAGGCAGCTACCCTGGACCTAAGTCCCTTTTTGTCCATCCCATCGCTCTGGACTGGTCTGGAGGCACGTTGGGCCAATAGGAGGCAAAGCATGAGCTCCTGAGGGAGGAGGGGAGGTAGGCTAGTTTGGCCTTACCACACTCCACAGCTGTGGGTGGGCAGTGAGTGGCCACAGCAGCCACCGCCTTGTTGGAAACATCTAATTAAGGGACAGAGAGCAGCACCAGCAGGGCCTGACCAGTTCTGCTTCCTGCCTCCTATCACAGTGACACTCAGACGTGTGGCATGCTAATGTGCACTCCTGTGTATGCAGCCCAGCAGGGACACACGGGGGTGGCAGGGAGACAGGTTTGGCAGGGTGGGCGGGATGAGGCAATATCCCCACCCTAGCAGCCTTACCTGCCCCTCTCTCAGGGTAGAGGTGGCACAGAGAGCCAACCCAGGGAGGCTTCACCCTGTCCATGCTCAGCACCAGCTATGTCAGGTGTGTGTGGAAGGGCAGAAGCAGACAAAGGACACGGGATTGCCTCCCTACAGGTTGGTCCCAAGGACCCCAACCATGAGCCTCCCCTCTAGTGAAGCCAGAGAATAAAGTGTGGCGGCAGGTTCTTCTTCTTCTTCTTCCTCCTCTTCTTCTTCTTCTTCTTCTTCTTCTTCTTCTTCTTCTTCTTCCTTCTTCCTTCTTCCTTCTTCCTTCTTCCTTCTTCTTCTTCATGTGTTAAATTTCTTAGTTGTAGTTGGACACAATATCTTTATTTTATTTATTTATTTTTATGTGGTGCTGAGGATTGAACCCAGGGCTTTGCACATGCTAGGTGAGTGCTCTACCGCTGAGCCACAACCCCAGCCCCCGTTTTCTACTTCTTTTCTTTTTTGGGGTGGGGGATTGAACCTAGGGTTGCGCTGTCTCTGAGCTGCATCCCCAGTCCTTTTCATTTTTTATTTTGAGGCAGGGTCTTACTAAGTTGCCCAGGCTGGCCTCGAACTTGTGATCCTCCTGCCTCAGCCTCCTAAATCTCTGGGATTATAGGTGTGTGCCCCCAGGCCAGGCTAAAACTTTTTTGGGGGTGGGGGGGTTCTGGGAATCAGACTCAGGGCCGGCTCATGCTAGGCAAGCACTCTACAGTTCATTCTGAGTTCAAACTAACTCATCTCACCTGCTGCCCCTCCTCTCTCCTTTGCTCCAAGGCAGACAGAGCTGGGTTCTGGCTTTGGGTTTTCAGGCTCCTCATTCACAACATCCCAAACTGACAGACCCAGGAGAGTAGAGATCCCTGTTTTGTCCACCTGGGTTGAGAAATGGAAATGGCCGTTCAGTTTTGAACACTTGGCCAAGGTCATCAGTGGCCGGTAAGCTGGCACCAGTAGCTGCTAATGCTGTGCCCCAGGTCACCCAGCCTGGTCCCCTGTGCACAGACATAGGAGGGCAGACAGGCCACTGACAGCTGGACCCCCAGAGCTCGGGCCTGACACCAGCCTGTGTGGCTCAGAGAGAGTTGGGGCGCCAGCTCAGGGGCCACGCCAGGGCCTGGCGCTGGTGAATCAACCCCTGGAATGAGGTGGCTCATTAAAGTCCCCCGGACAGACGGACGCCAGCGCCCGTAGAACGGGTTCTGGGCGCGGGCAGGCACATTCTTCCCCCGTCAGAGCTTTGTTGTGTTTTGAGGGGGCGAGATCTGGGGCTTTTCCTGAAACTTCAGTGCCCTCATACTTACCCAGCCTCCATTATCCCGGTCCTCTTCCTTCTGCTACATCCCCATTTGTCCTGCAGAAGAGGTGAGGGCAGCGGCCCTGCCCTGGTCCTCACCACTGTCTTTCCAGCTTGGAGGGGTTGGGGCAGAGGACCTTGCTGGTGGGACTGAAATCCCATATGCACCTCTCTCTCATGCTCCCTCATCCTTTCTGTCCCAGGACTGTCCCTCTTGATTTGTCTTTCTGAAATTTATAGGTTTTAAGTTCAGACCTTAGGATGTACTGAGATTTTAATTGAAATATTAGACCATTTGCCCAGCTCTGCTGGCTTCGAGACTTGACTCCTCTGGGTCACTTCTCATCAGGACCAGGGCTGAGGGTCTGCAGCCAAGCCTCCCTGGCCCGTTTACTGTGATGTGTCTGCTGCAGGGAGTGGCTGCCAGGTATCGGTGCCACCACTGCCTGAGGGAGCCCAGCCTGGCTGCCACAGCAAGCGGTCCGCTGTGGGGGAGGGTTGCATAAGCGCCGGGCAGGCTGCCTGAGCATCCACCTGCTGCTCCCTGACCTCCTCCCTCTCCACCCACCTGGCCTGTTTGCCTGCAGAGCTGGGCTGGGCTGGAGTTGGGAGCCTGGAGCCCTGATGGGCTGTGACAGCAGGGACTAGCAGGCTAGAGGAGGAAGGGTCTAGAACCACCTAAAAACCCAAGACCAATGGCTAAATCTGCCTGGAGGAGAAGCCTGAAGGGTCCCAGACCATCACCCCCTGGGGCCAGGATGACTCTCAAGGAGTTGTCCTTGGCCAGGGCCTCCAGTGGTGCCCTTTGTCCCAGCAGGAGCACACACAAGCTTGGAATCCAGAGGGACTGGCCCAGGTGGGGCAGGCCGATAGGTCTGCAGCCATAATTGGCAGGGCAGTTTGGTCCTCCCAGTTCCGCTAAGACACAAATTACTCAGCGGGCAGTGGCGCTTGGCTGGCGTCACCTGTAATTACCTTAATGGGGCAGAAGGGAGGCGTAACACGTGGTGGTTGGGAGAAGCCCACTCTATACATGCCTGTGAGAGCTGGGACAGAGGCTCTAGCCACCTTCTTGCTGGAGAACCTTTCTGAAATCCTCACCCGGCTGTTCTCTCCACAGTCAGCCTGGGCTTCTGCCCACCACAGCCCTACCGGGAGCCAGAGCCATCAGTGGCCGAACCCCCTTCCTGCCCCCTGGCTGTGGACATGAGCCTTCGGGACTCCAGCTATAGTACGGCCCCAGGAGCCTGCGTGGTGGCCCAGCTGCCCTCTGAAGATGTGGGCTGCCTGACTGGCCCCCAAAGCAGAGATCAGGGCTTCCTACGCACCAAGATGAAGGTAACGACTGTCACATTGTCTCAGGGACCAGGGGCACATATGGAGACCTATGTCCAGCCCATGAGATGTGGCACCAATGAAATGTAGGCAGACTGACCTGGGCCCTGGGCCAAGGCTTCTGCAGAGAAGAATTTAACTGCAGCACAGATGGAAGAGACGTAAGTCTGAAGTGAGAACGGCCACTGACCGCATGGTTTGTGTAGCCACAAGAAGCAAGGAGAGCTGTAGGAAGAGCCCCCCAAGGCAGAGAGGCAGGAGTCTGGCCTGGCTGCATCTCCTGTCTGGGTCGCATTGAGCATGAGGTCTGAGTGGCCTAGCAATTAACTATTCCCTGAAGCAGCAACCACCTTGCCCAGATCTGTGTCTCCAGCCTGATCAGTGTCTAAGGACATGACTAGAGCTGGGCCTGGGTGAGCAGCCCCGGTACCCTCCGCAGTACAGGCACGAGGCAGCGCAGGTGTCCCTGCTCCCAAGGACAGCACCAACAGCAGGCCCGGCCTGCCTGGGTCTGCACTCCGGAAGCTCCAGGGTGGGGCAGCATCTGCACACTGATCTAGGGAAGGGTACTCCTTTATTGATGTCCTGTGTCACCAAAGACTGGAACACCATATTGCAACTGGGGGGGAACATGGTGTTCTTTGTGCCCCTGCTGCTCTTCCCCTGACTCTTGGACCCCTGTGGGTGGGGAGAGTAGAGGAGTTGGAGGACTGCATCCTGACATTTCCCAGGTGCCAAATAGGAGGTGTAGTGCGACAGAGGCCCAGGATCTCAGGAGGAGCAGCCAGAGACAGGCCACCCACAGAGCACAAGCACCCTCTAGATGGTAACAGAGGTGAGAGTACAGACTCCATCATCCTGGCTGTTCAGCCACTCCTGTGCTGATCTCACCTGGGGAGCTGCTGTAGCCACTCTGAGCAGCATACTTTCCAAGGTGTTACAGGCACCCAGGTCTTGCTTCAAATGGACAAGGCAAGGGGGAAGCAGGGTAGAAGAGATGGAACAGGAGTGGCCCTGAGTGACAGGCACAGGCTTGTGATATTGTCTCCATACTTTTGTATAAATTTGAAATCTTCCATAATTAGAAAAACATCAGAAAGATTTACAGGCCAGAGGATGGATGGCACAGGGGTCTGACCCACACCATGCCACCTGGCTCAAGTGAACCAGGGAGCTGGCTGGCCTGGGCCAGATTCTAGTCTTGCTGCATGCTTCAGTCTGTAGGCTGCGATCGAGACCCTTTCCCTGGGTGGTCATCTACTCTGTCACAGAGGCAGAACAGGAATGAATTAATAGACACTAGAGACATGCAGATTTAGCCTCCATGAAGAGTGAATTGTCTTTGGACGCACAGCTGTTTCTGGGTAGTTCAGTTGCCTGTCTCCAGTGGTTAAGGAGGGCCTCAAAAGGGAACTCAGGAACCAAGCAGGATGCTGGACCCATGACGCAGAGGTTCCTTTGAGCCCCCAGACTTCCCATCTTTGAGCAGAGGGCCCAGGGCTGTGGCCTGTGGACATAGACACTGCTTTCCTCAGGGCTGGGGGTTGGCAGTCCCAAATTCTGGATGTTTGTCACAATGCTGTCCTTGCCCACAGGTTACCCTGGGGGACAGTCCTAGTGGAGACCTCTTTACCTGCCACATCTGCCAGAAGGCCTTCACCTACCAGCGTATGCTGAATCGCCATATGAAATGTCACAATGATGTTAAGAGGCACCTGTGCACATACTGTGGGAAGGGTTTCAACGATACCTTTGACCTCAAGAGACACGTCCGAACCCACACTGGTAAGCACAGGCCCAGGCCAGGAGGAAGCACCCCAGGACTGCCCGACCCAGGCCATGTGGGAAGATTCCATGGTGGGAGGGGCATCCTGCAGCTCAGGGTAGAAGTCCTCCTGAGATCAGGGATGTGGACTTGATTTGAGAGTCACTCAGGAAAAGTGGTGATGGACAGGCTTCATCCATCCCTCTGCCTGAGTCAGATGTCCTGACCTTTCTGTGTCTGGATGCTGCTGACAGGCTCCAAGGTCCCTTGTCAGGTCCCTGATGCTGGCCCCTGTCTTCCTTAGGAGTGAGACCCTACAAGTGCAGCCTGTGCGACAAGGCCTTCACCCAGCGCTGCTCCCTGGAGTCTCACCTCAAGAAGATCCATGGTGTGCAGCAGAAGTATGCGTATAAGGAGCGCCGGGCCAAGCTGTATGTGTGCGAGGAGTGTGGCTGCACGTCTGAGAGCCAGGAGGGCCACATCCTGCACCTGAAGGAGCACCACCCTGACAGCCCGCTGCTGCGCAAGACCTCCAAGAAGGTGGCTGTGGCCCTGCAGAACACTGTGACATCCCTACTGCAGGGTAGTCCCCACCTCTGAGCAGCTCAGGCTTGCTGCCCAGCCAGTCCGCCCTCCTGTGGCCTCTCCTCACAACCCTGACATCAGGACTGGAGTCTGTGCAGTCCCCCTCACTCAGGCTGATGCCGACCTCGACTCCTTTCCCTGTTTGTCTTATGGGCAGAGTTGATCTGCACCTGAAAGACACGCAGATGTCTGGGCAGGGGTGAGGCCCACGGATTAGCAGCTGCCACCTACAGAGACAGGCACCAGGACTTCCTTCACAGAGGAAATGCGGTGAGAGGGGATCCTGTTGCCCTGGGCCCTGAGTGCAGGACAGAGGCTGCAGGTCCCCTTGGACAGCAGAGTCAAGAACACTGGCGAGGAGCACCCTGCAAAGACCCACGTGGGCACTGGTGGAGGCTTGTGCGCCTGCAGGCCACGCATGCGTGCACAGCCATGTGCATGTGTGTGTGCAGCACTGCTCTGTGCGTGCTCAAATAGATGTGTCACTCGTGTGTGTACACAGGTGCACACAGGAGGCCTCTTCAGGTATCACCTCATTTTTAAAAAATCAAGGTGCCAGGGAGGTTTTATTTCCTTTTTTAAAAGATGACAAATGTACAGATATTAATATATATTTGGTGACCATGGCGACTGTTTTTAACAGAGGGATGGAGCTGGCTTTTCTCCTCCCTGTGTGGTTGTATTTATCCTGGACATTTCAAACTTCTCTGTGCCTTGGGTGTGGGGCTCCTGCCCAAACCACCCCTGTTCCCTGAGATCTCCACTGAAGACCTCCTCGGGCCCTCCGGAGGGTGCGCTGCTCCTCCTCTCCTTCCTCTTCTCTGGGCAGCACCTCACTTCTGCTCCTCCCTGGGGCTCTGCCTCCCAGATCCTCTCCCGGCAGTCCCCAGGTTTCCTGAAGAGCCTGCTGGCACTGTTTGTGGTGGTCCCAGGCTGACGACAGAGGTCAGCCAGGCAGGATGGAGAGTCTGTGACGGGGAGGCTGCTACTTGCAGTGCTTCCAGCACAGGAGGGCTGGAAAGCCAGCCCTTTTCCTGGGTGAGTCAGACACCCGAACACAGCAACCAACAGTTGGCACCAAAAAATAAAGACAACTGAAACTTCAAGAGGGAAGAGAGTGTGAGATGGCTAATAAATTCTCTTTGTAGCCTTTTTCCTGACTGTTTTCTAAATGGCAAAGCTGGGTTTTGAGTACCTGAGCTGGTTGGCTCCTCTGAGCAGTGGTCAGGCTCCCTCGGCGTAGTTGGGTTTCCTGCTGATAACAGCAAAGTGCAGTGAGTCAAAAGGGTGTTTTTCCAGTGGGTCAGAGAAGATGGGCAGAGGCCACAGCCAGCCCGCCTCCCTTGCCCTCCAGCAGATCCACCAGAAGGCCACAGAATGTAGCAGACTGGGCAGCCTGAGCAGCCCACGGAAGCCAAACCCATCAGAACTGCCATGGCCTCCCTGCCGGGAAGGTGCAGCGACTCTGTGGACCCCAGCTCTGCCCCACTCCAGGCTGAGCTGAAAGGAAAGAGCTTCTTGAATGGAGCTGGATATAGACTAACTCTGCAGACCAGTTTCATTTTACTGTTGTGTGTGTGGAAGCTGCTCTATTCTGAAAGTTCTAGAGTTTAGCTGGGAGCGGTTTGTGTTTACATTTCTGTCTCTCTGGGTTCATTACCAAGCTGAAGCCTCATGAGACTGTTTTTTTGTTTTTTGTCTTATTTTATAACCTTCCCTTCGACTAGTAAAATCAGAAAAATAATGTTTTCTGTGTTCTGATTTTCTATCTTATGAGTCTTTTTTGCAGAGAAGTTCATCAAAACAATTGCTGCACTCTACCCAGACCCTGTCCCTTTATGGTTACCGTGGGCTGGAGGAAAGGCAAGACTCTGACCCAGCTAGATTAAGTGACTACCAAGGCCTCACCCTACCGGTGCTTCTGCCCCACCCAGCCTGCTCTGCTCTGAGGCTGTGGCAGCTGGGGCCCTCTTCCTGGGCTCCCTTCCTCTGCCCACCACCCCAGGATCCCAACCAAGAGCCTCCACCACCCAGAACCTGCAGCTTTCCACAGTGGCTCTGCCTCTGTCCTAGCTTCTTCTTAATACCCTGCCAGGATGGGAGCAAAGGAGGAGGAGCTGCAGTCACTTCCAGTCAGACACGAGGGAGGTCTGAACAATGCACACCCTAGGGATGGCTACACTCAAGTGCTGATCGGTGCCAGGCACACTCATGAAAGAAGTCAGGGAGGGGAGCTGGCCCAAGGCCTCAGGCCCATTAGCAGTGAGCTGGGCTAGAACAGACAGCCTGGCGATGTGTGCCTGAAGTGCTGTTCCTGCTGTGGATAGAGAACTGGGAGAAGAGAGTGGCACCTCTCAGCACTCAAACTGGAGGGAACTTTGGAGATTACCTGGCTTGCCCATCACCCACCCAAGATCACTCTGGAAACTCTGGTCCCTGAGTCCTCGTTCAGGGTCATTCCATCACTCCCTGGACAGATGGATGGGGAGGAGAGTTACTAGGCTCTGGCCACTGGTGTATGTCCTGGGAGGCATTTGAAGGTTGGTGCCTGGACGTGTGAGGAGAAACCTCATTGTGAGAAGCCCAGACCCCATTTCACACACCCGAGTGGAGCAGAGCCCACTGTGGGGGCACAGGTGATTAACTGCTATACCAACTTCCTCAGCAGGGTTGGCCCAGATGGTCACATTTTGAAGGCTTTAAGGTTCTTAAGACTCTTCAGAGCAGGCCAGTGCAAGAGCCTGGGAGAGAGCGGGGATTAGTGCACACAAATGGTGTGACCGAACCACAAGGTCAGGCAACCCTGAAATGAATCTTTTGCATCTTGGAAGAGGGGGCACCACGTGGGGAAGATGGGAGGACCCGGCCAACAGAGGAGGACACAGGGTGTCAGGGGTGAACTGGAGGAAGGAGCGGGGCCCACCACCCATCCCACGCTGCAGTCAGTCAGTCTCACCACAGGGGTTTTGGGAGACCTGCCTGGGTGCCAATGAACACTAAGAATAAAACAGGCCTCAGGGGCACAGGGGAGCTGGGCAAGGCCTCATTAGGAGGGAAGCAGAGCCCTGCTGTCCTCAGAACAAAGCAGCAAGCGTCGGGTAGGGAACTTTAGGGCTGCAAGTGCTCCTCATGGTTTATACTCCAGAGTTGAATATCTTCTCTAACAATTTTACAATGAGTATGTTATTTTTACTATTGGAACAACAACAATAAAAAAAAAACTTAGAGGTTTGCTGGCCGCAGTGGCGCATGCCTGTAATCCCAGCGGCTTTGAAGGCTGAGGAGGAGAATTGCAAGTTCAAAGCCAGGATCAGCAAATGCAAGGTGCTAAGCAACTCAGAAAGACCCTGTCTCTAAATAAAATACAAAAAAGGGCTGGGGATGTGGCGAAGTGGTTAAGCGCCCCTGGGTTCAATCCCTGGTACCAAAATTTAGATCTAAAGTTTGATACATCAACAGGGAGATGGGGCTGACTCCCCCAGCCCCCCCAAAAAAAAAAAGAGCAAACAGGATCTTGGACGTTATCAGAGGTGTGGCCTCAACCACACTTCATGTGCCTCTGCTTTGGGCTGGTCCCCAGAGTCAGCAAGTGGCAGGGAAAGGGCTTTGGCCTTCATCAGGAGACAAGGCTTGCCTAGCCCTCTCCCACTATCTGTGTGACTTTGGACAAGTGACAACCTCTCAGTTTCCTCATCTATAAAATGAGGTGGATTCTAAGTTCAAAAGACCCTCTCTGCTCTGAAGCCTGTAGGTGCCTATCTTGGTAAAGCACAAGAAGAAGCCCCCTGACAGACTGCTTCAGAGATGTGGACAACAGAAGCTGGGAGGCACCATGAGGGGAGGAAGGCCACCAAAAGGCCACCAGCCCAGGAGGCAGGAAAAATTTGTCCATTTGGCTTCCCACAAGGCAGAACCCTGGGTGAGCAAGAGTTAGAGGGGCACTGACCCGGTCTTAGAGAGCAAAGGACCTTACTGAGCCCCACACAGCTTGACCCTGGGAGGGAGGAGCTGGCGCCATCTTCAGAGCCTGGGAAGCCACTGTGAAGAATCTCTGAGTTCTCAATTCTAGGACCACACAGGCTGGAAAAATGATCCCCAAGCTCTTCCACCTATGAAATTTTATAAGGTCCGGTCAAAGTGCCATGGCTATGACCTTCAGGTCCAAAGGCCATTCCCAGCAAGGCAGATCTGGTGGGAATGCTGGTGAACAGACCAGGCATGAGACAAAGCCCAGGGAAGGGTGAGAGCAGGTGCGGGCTGTGCCAGCTCTGGGTTTGGGGTGAGGATGGCCTGGTTTGTTGTGGGAAGGGGCTCCCTTTCCTATACTCTGGGTCCAGCCCCTGAGGCAATGGCTGCCACTTGACCCAGGATGTCCCACTCTCACGTCCAAAACCAACCCGCTTCCTTCGTGCCCCCTGACAGCCCCTTCCTCATCCTGAAGTTTGTCTGACGCCCACCCTCCTTCGGCAGTGAGGCTCCTTGGGCACCTCTGGCCCATCCTGGTGCTCTTGCTCTGCCTCCCTGTGTCCTCTAGGCCTGAAGATCCCCGGGGCAGTGTCTGTGGGCTGCGGGCTCCTGGCATGTGGGCAAGTGGCTGCCAGCAGGAGGGTGGGCTGAGTCAGGTGTGGAGATCGGGTTGGGCAAAGGAGGCACGTTGAAGTAGGTCTCCCGGGCTGTTCCCTGAGCGTAAGAGCTGGGAGGCAAGTGGCTGTTCCATGTGTTCCTGACTTCTTCTCACTGAATACAGTTGTCCCTGCTAGCCTCAGGGGATGCATTGCAATCCCCCAGTGGATCCCTGAACCACAGAGAGTACTGAACCCCGTGTACACTGCTTTTTTTCTATCACAGAGACCTATGATGAAGTTTATAAATGAGGCACAGTTAGAGATTAACAGCAGCTAACAATCAATATAACAATTACAACAGCATACTGTGATAATGTGTGCATGTGCACTCTCTCTCTCAAAATATGGAATTTTCCGTTTAGTATTTTAAAACTGTGACTGACCTTGGGCAACTGAGACCA